TATTTGAAATTTCTCTAAAATGAAAAAACTGATTGTAAAGGATGTATTTAAATTAACATAGCAGCCGATCCACAACTGTTAGTATATTCAGAAAATTATATTATATTATGGATTGTTATAAAAATGTTTATAATAATATAGTATATAAACAAAATATAATAAATAAAAAGGGCTGTTTCTTTTCTGTGCTCTATATCTTCTAGTAAATAAAGGATAAAAATAGATAACTTTTTATAATTTGAATCCAAAACTGTCCTTATGAATCATTTTACCTGAATCATTACCTGGGAGCAACTGTAACTATAATTAGTCATAACCGAAAACAAGAATTTTTTAACCTTCTCAATCCATAATTATATTATAAATCTAAAACTATTAACAAAATTTAAAACTAATAAATTATATATATTATGCGGTATACAAACATATATAAGCCTATTTTCCAACGCTTCATAAAAATTACGGGGCCCTGATTGCAAATGTGATTTTGCGATCTAGTCTAGGCCGATGTGTTGGGAGCTGCGAACGAAAATCGCAATCGCCGCTCTTCGTTGGCGTGCCCACTGGGATGAGCTGCAATTTTCGTTCAGCTCCTCGTTCGCCTGCCCACTGCCGTGCTGATGACGCGCCGCCGCCGCGCCGGCCGGTGCGTACGAGAATCGCAATATTGCGATTTTCGTTCCCAGCTCATCGTTCGGCTTCTCAGTGCCGTGCCGATGCACCGCCGGTGCGAACGAAAATCGCAATGCTGTGATTTTCGTTCGCAACTCTTCGTTCGCGTGCCCACTGCGATTGCAAATCGCAACTAGTGTAATATTGGTTGCCTAAAAATCCAAAATCGGCAGATATATGTTTAAATCGCAAGTCGCAGTTTGCTATGGAAAGGAATCACAGGTTGCAATTGCGAATTTACAATCGCTGCGATTAAATCGCAGTTTGCGATTTTCTGCTCATCTCTACCGTACAGTGTGTATTTCTTTTATAAGTAAACTTTAAATTTTTCTCCATTATTTAGTAAAATATAAATATACATGCAACACAAAAACCATTTTTAAAACAAGGATTTTACTAGACTATCCTTCTAGATTTAATTCAGCACATGACACTAAACCATAAAAACATGAAAACATTTTACAGCATACCCTAGTGCAATATAACTTAATTTCAAGGGAAAACAGATAGAAAATGTTAGTGTTTTCTTAGCTAGACTGCCTTGTTTCGGCTACACGACCCCTATACATGACTTACTTGCGCAATAAAGATTTTATTACCTATAAAAAGCCGGTAAAAAAGATGAATCCAGACAGGAAATCTTTTTCGGTATAGGTATGGGTATTTTATTTAATCTAAACAATACCAAACTTTTAATTAAAATAATTAAAAAACCTTAAAGCTTTATTCAAAACCAGAACCTCGCAATTAATGGAATAAATTAGTGGTTTCAATTACACTTAATACTTTTTAGTTTACGATCATTCACAATGTTTAAAACACACAATTAAAATTAATAGAATATCCTACCAACAGCTTGCGTTAGTCAGTTGTATGCATAGAGAAAGCCCATGATACAAAGAATACAAGGTATGATATTGCGCAGGTTGGTCACTACGTCACAGGTGATAAACGGCACCATTGGTCGGCAAGCTCTGCGCGCCAATTTCAAATTGTCAAACAGATTGTGTCATCTGTGAAATTTGATTGTGTCAAAATGTGAAAATAATTTTTTAAATGTCAAGCTCGATGTCAAAACATAACTTTTGGGGTTATGTCCTAATTCTTCCCTATTTTAGGTCTTTTTTTATTAGTGGCAATGGAACAATATGGATATTTTTTTTGTATGGCGTATGACGTCACAGGTGGTATGCGCAAACTTAACGAAATTAGAGCCGCTATCGATCATACCTTGTTTTCTTTGTACCATGGAGAAAGCCTAATATTTAACTTATAAAACAATCAACTTTTGATTTCTAACCACAATTTATCTTGACGGAAGACAATCAAAGGCCAAAATGACATTTGTCGCAAATTTCGAAGTATAATTAGTGGAAAAGTCAAAAGTTTGATAACTTTTCGACTTTCTGACTAATTGGAAATGTCTACCACTAATTTTGACGTTCTGAATGCTTACATTGAAATTAAAGGAACAAACTTCTACGCTAATTGCAAGAAGTTTCTTGAAGTTTGAAAGTAAGAAATACTTTTTAATATTTTTTTTAGTATGTGATGATTTGTTTAAAATACATTCCTCTTTGTTTTGTATTAACACAGACTGCAATTTAAAAGAAAATGACTCGATTAGATTTTTTCAGTTTTATATAGTTTGTTTATAATATTTTGAAGCAATCACTTGTCACTCAAATTTGAAATATACCTAGTTGAAATATATTAATTTCATGCTATGCGTTCCAATTGTATCAACTTATTTCTTTTTAAAATAAAATAAACTACTTTGAATTAAAATGACAGACAGCTTAATAAATAACAAAACTGTTCTTTTTTACCTGATTTTAAGATTTTGAATAAAAATCAAATAAAAGAAAACTAAAGTTCAAGTTCGGTTCAACAACATCAGATATATATTGGAACGTTACCAGTTTTGTCCTTTAATGTTGTTTTTCTAGACTCTTTTATGTCCTTAGCTAAGTAATGTCAAATTGAAAGAAACAAGAAAACAACAAGAGTATTCCATAAATTCTTTTACTAAAAGGTTTTGTGTTTCTTTTAATAAAAAATGGTGAACTTATTACTACACAATACTTGTAAAGCAAACTAAAAGCAATATTATTTTCTTAGATACAACTTTTTAGTATTTGTACTACTATTATTGTAGTATGTGCTTGTATACATGCCACAATTCATACGTTTAAGTAACTTCATTTAATATAATCGAATATTTTTTAGGTGAAAATTTTTCCTGTGTGTCCTATTGAAATTTTTATAAATATATTTATTAATAATTTTATGATTTTTTTAAGTAAAAACTGATTATTTTAGAAACTACAACCATGCTATAACGTGGTATACCGATGCTTCCAAAACCAAAGCAGGGACAGGGATAGGAGTATTTAGGCCGAAAACTGAATACTCTGAATCAATGCATTCGAACCCAGCATTCTTCAAGCAGAAATGTACGCTATCGAAAGATGCGTACAATTTATCTTAGATGGGAACTATCGAAAACAGAAAATAACCATTTTATTTGATAGTCAAGCAGCACTAAACGCGATCAACTCAGTAACCATCAATTCGAAGTTGGTCAAAGAATGCCTATAGAAGCTCAACAAATTAGGCAAAGAAAATAAAGTCCTCCTACTCTCGGTGCCTGCTCACCAAGGAATAGAAGGCAATGAAAAGCAAATGATCTATCTATAAAAGGAGCGAATACTCTACTAACTGGACCAGAACCGTTCTGTTTTGGAAACCAACTGAAAGCGGAACTGAAGAATCTGGAAGACTCCATCCGTAACTTGGAATGGGTGTCCTCGATCTGTCTAAGACACTCGAAAAAGGTTTACGACCGAGAAAAATCAAATATTTTCCTTGATTTAAGTAAAAACAATCTTAGGATTGTCACGGGGTTTCTAACAGGACACTGTTTCCTCAATGAACACCTTAGTAGGCTGAAGCTGAGACACAACGGCGAATGCAGATTCTGTGGGGAAAATGGGGAAACACCAGAACACCTTATCACTGAGTGCCACGAACTTTAGTACGGCTGATGTCGAGGATGGAGAGCTGGCCTCTGTGGAGCTGTCTCAGATACTTGCTTTTGTTAAAGCCCTGAGACTGTATGATAAGTTATAAAGCGTTATAACTCAAGAAAAGGGAACACACAATAAATCTGTAAGGTCGCGGTGATTAACTAACCAAATATTATAGGTAGTAATTATTATTATTAAAATACATTTTTTATATATTAAAATATATTTTTCTAATTTAAATATATTTATTGCAACGCGACATTTTACTTTTTATAGTTTTAATATATGGAAAATCTTTTTTTTTAATTCAAAGTACGCACTATGAAGAGCCAGACTGTAAAAATTTGGTTTTTTACAATAAAAATATCGGTTAGTTTTTGAAAAAAGGAAAATTGAAAACAGACTAATCTAATTTCTATTATATTTAAGCATAATCGAATAAAAAATCTATAATTTTTTTGTGTACTAAACTTGTAAAGCTTTTAGTTATTCCATTTATGTCAATTAATTGAACTTGCAACTATTAATAATACTCTGCAATTTTACTAATATAAAAATTAAAATTATCGATTTAGTTGTACAAGAAATAAAAGGTTAAGACAAGTGCATATCATAGCCAAAAAAGTTATGATAATTTAAGAAATAACCAAACTAAACCAAACGCATGACATCATGACATGTAACTTAATTATTAATTCTATATAACATCAACTAGTCTAAAAATTACATTTATAAATTATATTAGTTGTAAATTGTTTGTAGTCGTTTTTATAAAAATCTGATTTTATAGTATTGTTTGAGCACTAGATGTAGATCATAACCAAAAAAGTTATGATAATAAATAAAAAAGGGGCAACGGTCCAGCTACGTCAAAGCAGCGGTTCCCGTTAGATCACCGAAGTTAAGCGACGCAAGGCGATACTAGTGGATAGACGGGTGACTGTTTGAAAACTCTGCAGTGCTGTTATAGCATTCACGCCGGTTTGTGGCCGGATGAGATCGGATATCTTGTGAGTAAGAGTCGATTTAGACATTTGCCAAGTCGATAGGTTATTGACCATGATATGGCCGACGACCGCGGTTTGGATTCCGCGTAAACAAAGTAGGTGCCGTCCAGATTAGCCTTAGCAGCAAAAATAAGACGTAAACTAGAAATACTCTACTATATTAAATACTAAAAAACTTTTCATATCAAATTTCGTTCATTACTATTTACAGTACACGACTAATTCGTATTTAATTTATTAACAACAATTTATTATTAAAAAAAAATACTAAGCATTTTTTTTTTCATTATAGTGAACTACCCCACGATAATTGGTCTTTGTGTCGGCGGAACACTCTTCGGTATTTTGGTGTTGGCTGCCACGTACTACTGTTACCAGCGCAGGCGCAGACTTCGTACCAAACGAAATGGACCGGACCAGCCCTTGGCATTCCACTCGCACAGGAGACCTACCGCTGTTAAATCTCCTGCAGGCGCTGGAACAGGTACCCATTACTTGAAAAAGAGTCCTAGCCCGACTGGATTATCCAAGACTCCACCAGGTGTAAGTTCACTCTTTATTTTGTTGTATACCAACAGGATGATCTATTATTTCCAAAAAGCTTCATATTACACTTTTGTTCAAATTTTTGTTATAATCTCTTGCTATAATCCACAGCGGATGATTAATACTGTTGTTTTAATCATCCGCTGATGATGTTAACATTGTTATAGAAACGTACTTCCAGGGCAAAAATAAAATGTTTTGAAGTATTGTGGTGAATTAGTGTTGTTATTTATTTTTGCTGTTGTGGTAAACACCAAAAGTTCCAACCCCCAACTGTAATCTATAATTTCTTTCATACCGCAGTATGTTCTCGGATTGTCTATACAAGAGAAAAAAAGTTTTATGATTAACTTTTTGAGAAAAATGAGTTTTTCATAAAAGTTTTTCCTTATTCTAGAATGGTTAATTCCGTTGGTACTTTTCCAGATTTCCATACCATCTTCAAGAAAAATAAAAAAAATATAGTTGACGAAGTTCCAAAAATCAAAGCAAAAATTAAAACGCGTTTCTACAAAAATTATTTTTAGGTTTTCATCGTTTGATAGATGGTCATTAACTTTGATTAACGTCATATGATATGCTGTTTTGAATATGTTAAAGAAGCACATTTTTTGGTTTAACTCCGATTATTACTCAATGTTTCTACTCTTTGTCAATGTTTCTAGATTATACATTTTGTGCTTCTTTAACTAAAATAGCAATGATGTGAGAATTCATACTAAGCATCAATCAAAGAGCGAAGTCGAAATTATAGTACAATAGAAAAACGTTTTGACATTTGGGACTACTTTGGAACAAAAAATTAAATTATATTTTTATATTTGTGTATTTCTCTCTAAAGGGGTATGGAAATTTGGAAAAGTGTTAACGGTATTAGCCATTTTAGAACAAGCAGAAACTTTTATAAAGAGTGTATTTTTCTCAAAAAGTTAATAATAAAAAAGTTTTTCCTCTTGCCAAGACAATTCGGGGACATACTGTATATGCGGACAGCGGTTATGTATAGTTTGAAAAAAAGTTGTTAATATGTAGGTTGATTAACATTCCTCTCCGGGAGAAAAAAAACAATTTTATTATTTTGGTTGGGGGTAGAATTTTTTAGTAAGATAGGAAAAAAATATTAAACTATTAAAGCTGAGTAAAAACTAGGTAAATCATTCCAATTCAAAAGTTTGCGCATCAGACTAAAAAAATAGGTGTAAATTATTATTTTTTAGCTTGTCAATTCACGATATATTTTTCTACGCTACTATTGTTTAGTAAATTACTTATTGTGAGTACAGATGTGACAAGCCTGAGTCTTGTCCTAAAACTTTAATTTAACTTATTTTAAATCTGAGATTCTTTCATTTTTCTTTTCAATCAAAATACCTTGATTAATTGATGAAAAACAGTCGCAGCGGTGCTTCTACTGAGGTACCACGCTACCACTGTCGGTATATTGCGTAAAATAACAAATTAAAAATGAAATAAAAATCAAAGAAGAAAAATTATATAAATCTTTTGGGGAACAGTATGGTCACTGAGTTATATATACATGTAGTTTTATCATAGAACAAGTAATATACAGGGTGTTTCAAAACATATGCAAAAAACTTCAGGGGGTGATTCCTTGTTCAAAATAAAGGGTAGTTTGCTTCATAAACGTTGGGTCAAAAGTCAACCATTAGGGAGATATCGCGGTACAAAGATGGCGGAAAAATAATGTTCTTATTTTTTATCTTGAAAACGAAAAGAGATAGACTAATGAAATTTTATAGAAGTATAGTCTGTTCAACGAGAAGATCCTTGACAGTGATAGATGTGTCTGTCATTTTAATTTCAAAGTAGTTTTTTTATTTTACAAAGAAATAAGTTGGTACAACTGGAACGCATAGCAGGATATATTTAAAATTTGATTGACAAGATGACAAGTGATTACTTCAAAATATTGTGAAAAAAACTGTATAAAACTGATAAAATGTAATTGAGTTATTTTATTTAATAAAAACGGTATGTGTTAATACATAACAAACAAGAACAAGACACTACATACCAAAAAAATATAAAAAAGAACTATTATTTCCTTTCAAGCTTTATGAAACTACCCGCATTTATGATTATATTTATCAATATAGCTTATGTACAAATACAAATTTGTAATATTCCACAGGAATAAATAAAACAATATAGGTAAATAAAACAAACTATTTTATTAATAATAACACCTACCAAATTTTATACCTTAAAGGTTGATTAATTAACTTTAATCTTAATTTTTTTAAACCAGTACCTTTTGACATTATTTTTCTGCAGTACTAAAATCCATTATTTACCTATCGTGTGATGTCGATATTTTACAGCTACTCCAGTTTTTAGTATGTGTTTAGTTTGATCCTTCTACCATATACGAGATGCACTTATCTACGACGAAATGGTATACAAACTTTATCGATGGCAACTTCATTGGTGTATAAGACTGTATATCTGCCTGGGCAGCGAGTATTAACCATAAACTGTGCTCTGGGTCTACAGTTAATTTTCACTCGATTTTTCCTCCACTTGTCTTCAAAAGACACAAAACACACGTAATAATAGGAATCAAAATGCATCATCTTCCAAAACGCAGGGTATTTAACAAAAGTTGACACAAAATTATAACCTATAATTTGGCAAGACTTTGACAAGCGTAAAAAATGACAAAAATCTAAAGGCGAGTTCATACGCATCGGCGTTCGTTTGTCGTTCATCGTTCCGTCAAACCAATAATATTGAAATACGATCTGTCATTTTTTAAATAATCCAATAAAACTGGTTAAAAACAACAAGACACGACCTATGACGGATTTATATTTAAACCCATCCATAGATAACTTAAAAATTATTAGAAACTTTTTTTAGTAAAATAAATAGATTGGTATGGGACGTCATCTGCTTTTCTTCTGTCATCGTCTGTCGAAATCTTACCTGAGAAAAAAAAACAGAGTATATTACTGTTATGAAAACACACTTTCTGGTAATTTTTTCACTTTTTTAAAATGAGTGGAAGGGGTTGAAATAAACTACCTGCCTGGGCAGCGAGTATTAACCATAAACTGTGCTCTGGGTCTACAGTTAATTTTCACTCGATTTTTCCTCCACTTGACTTCAAAAGACACAAAACACACGTAATAATAGGAATCAAAATGCATCATCTTCCAAAACGCAGGGTATTTAACAAAAGTTGACACAAAATTATAACCTATAATTTGGCAAGACTTTGACAAGCGAAAAATGACAAAAATCTAAAGGCGAGTTCATACGCATCGGCGTCCGTTTGTCGTTCATCGTTCCGTCAAACCAATAAAATTGAAATACGATCTGTCATTTTTTAAATAAACCAATAAAACTGGTTAAAAACAACAAGTCACGACGTATGACGGATTTATATTTAAACCCATCCATAGATAACTTAAAAATTATTAGAAACTTTTTTTAGTAAAATAAATAGATTGGTATGGGACGTCATCTGCTTTTCTTCTGTCATCGTCTGTCGAAATCTTACCTGAGAAAAAAAAACAGAGTATATTACTGTTATGAAAACACACTTTTTGGTAATTTTTTCACTTTTTTAAAATGAGTGGAAGGGGTTGAAATAAACTACCCCTATCATTCTTGTTAACGAAATTTAAAGAAAAATCTTATCAAACGTTTAGTTTGTTTAGAAACTTTTTTATCTCTTGTATTTTTTTTATAAAACTCACCGATTTGAAATTAAAAAATAAAATGTAAAGCATTACATGTCAGAACTAAAAATATTTTTAGATTAAGAATCTAGTGATAATAATGATAATAATAATAATCTAGATAATAACGTATTGCAGTAGGGTAATGTCAAATAAAACAATATTAGAAACATCCTAAAAAGTGACAGCGGCCGACTAGATCTTTTCCTAAAAAAATTACAGCTGCCCACTAGATTTTTTATCTAAAAATGTTTTTTGTCCTGACATGTAATGCTTTATATTTTATTTTTTAATTTCAAATCGCTGAGCTTTATCAAAAAAACACAAGAGATAAAAAAGTTTCTAAATAAACTAAACTATCAAAATTAATTTTTTTTGCATGTGTTTGATAAGATTTTTCTTTAAATTTCATTAACAAGAATGATAGGGGTAGTTTATTTCAACCCCTTCCACTCGTTTTAAAAAAGTGAAAAAATTACCAGAAAGTGTGTTTTCATAACAGTAATGCTTCCGTAAAATTTCATTAGTCTATCTCTTTTCGTTTTCAAGATAAAAATAAAAACATTATTTTTCCGCCATCTTTGTACCGCGATATCTCCCTAATGGTTGACTTTTGACCCAACGTTTATAAAGCAAACTACTCTTTATTTTGGACAAGGAATCACCCCCTGAAGTTTTTCGCATTTGTTTTGAAACACCCTGTATCAGCATTCCTACCGACTGCGCCACTTAACTTCAAACAACAACCTTTTTAAACAACCCATTTTTAAAATATATTTAATGATTTATTTTGACAAAAAGCACTAATTGAATACAGATACAATAAGAATAAACCAAGTAAAAAAAATGCTTAGGTTAACAAAATATGTAGAAATAAAATATTTTTTAATATGATTGTAACGGAAAATATGTTTGATATTTAAATAATATGTTGGTGTAGTTGATATCGATGTTACATAATAGTTCTTGAATAATAGAATATTTTTATCTTGTAACGTTAGTTTAAATATGTCGGTTTTCTTGGTGTAAAATATTTTTAGAATATGCGTTCTTTAATGCTAAGTTAAATTTGCTTGCTCTATATCTTTGGTTACAGAAAGGTTAACCTGGATTCATTACGAAAGAGAATTACCTTTTTAAATAAAGAAAATGAGTTTTTAATACCACAAAGTCAACAAAAACTCATTTAATTTAATAATAAATCTAAACTTGAACTTAATTTCCAGCTTTTTATTACTTTCATAAATGATCTTCAACGTTGATTATTATTGTAATCATTAATAAATTAATGAAAATAACTTTTTAGATAGATTTGAATTACTTAGTTTAATAGTATATCGTCATATTCGAACTTTTACCACAGTATTATACGATTTATGATTATAGCATTAAGTTTAATTTTTTATAGTTAATATAAATAAAAAAATAAATTATTATAAATATTTTTAGATGTCCGTACCTCATACTCCTAGTCCAACTGGAAGTATTGTAGGTCCTTTAGAAAGTGGAGTATCCAGCGGAAGCCCAGTTGAACACCACAAAACAGAGACTCAAGTAAGTACATTCTAATATTTTGTGTACATGTGCTTGGTATTCGTATCTTAATTTTGAGAGAAGTAGTGACAAATATTTAAGTACAAGATTTAAATTAAACTGAAAGATATTGTAACTTAGAAAAAAAACTTGGATATCCTATGCGGCGAGGTAATCCGTGGATGCCCTGCAATTTTGCTAGGGTGTTTTATGTTCCTTAACTTGTATTGATCAATTTATAAGAAGATATTTTAAGACACTTTATTATTAAGTTAAATAAATTACAAATGAAGTTTTTTAATTGTGACTTGACACGTAGAGCTGTACAAAAATATTCTCTTACTACTTTTTTCTTCCAATGAACTCTAATTTAATACAGTGCGCCCTATAGCAAATTTTTAAGCTTCTAAAGGCCTTCGCCCGGCATTTGTAACTTAATTATCATCGTCTCTATTGAGCCTGTTTCGCCTTTTTCTTGTTCATTCTGTCTAAAGCTATTTCTCAAATATAATAGATAGATACAAATGGACTCGAAAAACGAAATTGGTCGATAGATGTTTTTTTTTTCTATTTATTAGATCCTCTGTCACTGAAAATTGATACTTATTTATTTGTTTACTTTGTTCGATAATAATTGATGATTCTTACGATAAACATTATTAAATTGTATTTAAACTAAGTCGATGATTTAAATATGATTATTATTCATATTTAGTGATAAGCAAGACTGGTCTTGGTTTTGCTTTTTGTGCAAGACCAAGATCAAGCATGCAAGAGTCTTGCAGTCTTTTTACGGCATAAGAAATTACTTATTTGTTTAAAATTATTGTTTTAATTTATTACCAATAGAGTTTTCCGGACTATTGCATTGAATTTAAAAAAAAATGCTGATATAATATAGTATTGAAAAATAAAATTTTTTGCTAGATATAATATATTCTAATAATTTCTTTTTAAAGTTCTATTTGCATTAAATTACTACTAAATATTATTTATTTAAAGATTTTCTATGTAGAAAGTGCCTCTAGAAAAAAATCTATTCAAAAAATGCAAGACTTACAAGAGCCTTGCAGCAAGACCAAGACTGGACCTTGCGAAACCAATACTACTTATTAGCTGTAAGACCAAAAGAGTTTTAAAGGGTCCCTAAAGGGACTTTATTTACTCCAAAGGGGTTTATTTACTCCAAATAAACCTATTTATAAAAATTATCAGTTATTTTATTTATTATTAATATACTGTATTCGTATTAAGTTATTTTTTTATTGGTTATTAAATTTTGATATATTTCTAGGTCGTCAAAGATAGCTGTATGACAGAGAATGAACGTCAAACTCCGACCAAAGAAGAACAGGAAGTGAATGAAAAGAACTTACAACAAAGCGCCGCTTATCTGGGACAACTTGTATTCAAGCTAAGGTATAACGAATGGAAAAAATATGAACGTGTTTTTACTCTCATGATTTATATATCTGCATTTACACAATATCATAATAAAGTATAATATAAAATATGTATAAAGAAAAGTGTTAAAATAATTCCTCATCAATGCCTAGAAAGAGGAGCAACCTCAGTAGAGGAGGATAGGAAACGAGTACAAATTGCTATTTTGCATTAAAATATATCAATATGTCCAACCTATTCAACTAAGGTTTCCAATAATTATGGTGTAGTATGGCTTCATCACATTGTTGTCTTTTTGTGGCTATGCGGGCCCAAGTTATCCCTGCTAATTTCCTAATATCATGGTCTTATCTTAGGTTTGGTCTTCTTCTAGGTCTCTTATTTCTCTGTTGTCCATGCTGTAATTTCCGTTGTCCATCTGTTGTTAATCATTCTTGCCAGATGTTCTGCCTATTGCCACTTGAGGGATTTGATTCTGTGGATGATATCTATTACCTGGGTACTTTTATCGTATCCACTCTATTCGTTTACGGTCTTTCTTGGTTATTCCCAGCACATTTCGTTCCATCGCGCGTTGTGTGACCGGCAGTTTCCTTATAATATCCGTTTTAAGTGTCCGTGTTTCACGCATAGATCATGACTGGTAGTACACATTGATCGAATGTTTTCTTCATTAGATGAAGTGGCATTCTAGATTTGAATAGGATAAGTACTCCATGCTAACTTAATTCTTCTGTTGATTTCTGGTAGTAGAGATCCAGAGCTGTGTTGGTTGCAGCTCTAATATAATAATTGTCCCAATATTTTCATTCTTCTACTCAGTGTTCTGTCATTTATTGGTCTAAATGTCTATTCTCTCTAACATTGCATCGTACATAACTTAGTTTTCACTAAATTAATTTTGTGACCTATTTTATTGCTGGCTGAATTTAGTTCGTTAATTTGTACTTGTAATGTAGTTCTTCAGGATTATTGGCAATTAGGGCTATGTCATCATCAAATCTTAGATGGATAAGATACTCTACATCTATTTTGAATTCTTTGTTGGTCTGTTTATTAAAAAGATTGGTCTGAAACAAAAAAGAGTAGCGAAAACGTTAGAGAGAGTCACAATAATTATTATATTTGAAAGACCTAAGAATCATCAAAACTATCTGAAATTCAATCTAACGAATATGAATATGAAACCCTAGAAACTACGTTAGTTTTGTAAACTATATCCAAACTTTATGCTATGGCTTATTAAGATGATTTTCTATTTTCATCGGAAAGATTTAAATCACCACTGTATTTTAAGGACCTTATAGATATAAAATAACAATTTTAAAACTAACTAAAAGAAAGTAGAGCATATTAAATTTTTACAGTTTATCAAGGCATGTTTTACCAACTTTTTTTTTGTTTATAAAAATATATATAGAACAATTGACCACAAATTACATGTTGTCACGCATTACTCTCCTTCACCTTCTCAATTATTAAAACTAAGCGATAACGGCCAGTTCCATCCGAGTGTCGATCGTTTCCCATTTCCCGCTAGGCCCACATGCGGAAAATTCACGATCGGCCAGGCTGAAACGAGAAAACCATTTCCCCTTGGAGAGGAAGAGGTGAAAATTTTGTTTAGGACCGATCCTAATACGGCTGTAAACAACGTTTTAAGTACACGCTCAAATTGATTCATACAGATCAATAAATCGAGTAATACTTTTATTTTACGTTTTTTTTTAAATGATCAAAATTAGTGATAGTAAAGCTTCATTCAGAACCTCGCAATTAGTAGAATAAATTAGTCGTTTCAATTACACTTTATACTTTTTAGCTTACGATCATTCACAATGTTTAAAAAACACAATTAAAATTAATAGAATATCCAAGCAACAGCTTGCGTTAAGTCAGTTGTATCCTTGTATCCATAGAGAAAGCCTAATATTTAGGTTATATAAAAAATCGGTAAAAAAACTTTTAACTTAAACGGTTTTATCTTATGTGCACTGAAAACTAGAAAATAATAATAACAATTAGGTATTTTGAACTTCTAGTTCAGAAATATTTTAGTACTAGGCAGAATAGCTTTTAGGCATATTAGACTAAAATAAAAACGTGGGGCCCATTAACTATTGCTGTAATAATTTCTTCTATACTAAGTGTGGATTGCATCGACTTACTATAATCGTAACTGGATAACCAGCCGTGGCGGCTTCACCAGCGAACGCCGAGCTCATGATCTACCAAAGTATAAAGATATGCTGTGCCATAGGTAGGATTTCAGAGGGGCCCCACGTTTTTATTTAATCTAATATGCCTAAAATCTATTCTGCCTAGTACTAAAATATTTCTGAACTAGAAGTTCAAAATACCTAATTGTTATTATTATTTTCTAGTTTTCAGTCCACATAAGATAAAACCGTTTAACTTAAAAGTTTTTTTACCGATTTTTTATTTTCTAATTTTTAGTATTTAACGGAAATGCCTACCGAATATTCCTCATTCTATTTAATTCATTTAGTGCATGATTATTACATGGTTTTTTACCTGATAATTTATTACAATTTAATTCCTCAATACATAGCCCTTCCAGAGACTTGACTCGACTTAGAGCCACGTATGCTTGCCCTTCCTCAAACAATTTTTTTTGTTTGTTTTTTTTTATTGTTTCCATGTTGTTCCCACGAGTAATGGACATTTTAACGGTCGACCCCACTAGAGGTCAATTAGAGGGGCAAGGCTATAATATACAACAAGAGGCGCCCAATCTTGAGGGGAAAACGCTTGCGACATTACATTTTTAGCCACCCTAATGCCATACAGTCCTCAGCACGTTTTAACCTATTACCTTAACTTGGGTGGTAAAGCTACCGCTAACTACGTAGGTACATCTAATCACCTATTTTTTTTTTATCTGTCCTTCTAACGTCACACAATCTTGGACACAACTGTTCTGGACACGACTACTCATGCCTCACCTAATACGCCGTTTTGTAACGACGTCCATCTTGGATTTTAAATTTTGTCATAATCACAGTATTCTACTAGTGTAGCCCTTTCATTTGATACCCATATTGAGGGGTTGCGGAAAAATATGAAATCCGCCATTTTGTACCGGCGGCCATCTTAGATTTACAATGTTATTGATATTACTATATTGTATTGTCATCGGAACTAAAGGTGTGTACCAAATTTCAGATCAATCTGACAACAGGAAGGTACTTAAATTTCAATTTCTAATTTTGACCCAAATAAATAAATACCGTACGGGTCGAGCTAAATAAAACCGTTTAATAAAAACAATCAACTTTTGATTTCTAACCACAATTTTTCTTGACGGAAGATAATCAAGTGGAAAAGTTAACTAAAGGTTAAAGATTCATTGAGAACCTTCAAATTAGTGGACTAAATTAGTGGTTTCAATTAGCTTAGGTTAAAATTAGTGGTAGACATTTTCAATTAGTAGAACAAGTTATCAAACTTTTAACTCAGCTTATAAGCCTCATTCATAATCTCGCAATTAGTGGAATAAATTAGTGATTTCAATTAGCGTAGAAGTTGTTCCTTTAATTTCAATGTAAACATTCAGAACGTCAAAATTAGTGGTAGGCATTTTCAATTAGTAAAAAAAGTTATCAAACTTTTGACTTTTCCACTAATTATACTTATTACTAATTTGCGACAAATGTCATTTTGGCCTTTGATTATCTTCCGTCAAGAGAAATTGTGGTTAGAAATCAAGAGTTGATTGTTGTATAAGCTAAATATTTGTCTTTCTCTATGGATAAAACTGACTACAATAAGCTGTTGCTAGGATATTCTATTAATTTTAATTGTTTTTTAGACACTTTGAACGATCGTAAACTAAAAAGTATAAAGTGTAATTGAAACGACTAATTTATTCCACTAATTGCGAGGTTCTGAATGAAGCTATAGTTTGATATAAGTGAAGAATATTAGATATAAATTAAATTAAAATAAAGTTCTTTAATTCAATCCTTCGCAAAATGTATCTAATATGTTAATTACAAAAGTTGCATGTGTTACAATGTTTCATTCAACGTTATAATAATTCGTTATTAATTCCCGGTCTTACGAATACATTTACATATCAAAAACCTTTAAATCCATCGCAGTCTTTCACAGTAATGAGAATTATTTGAATATTAAAATCATTAATTTGGTAATTTAATTTATATTTGATTTGAAAAATGTTTTTAAATATTCTCTTAATAATATATTTTCTTATTTATTATACATTTTTTTTGGTATTATTTTTTATGTGATTTTAGCATCATCTGCTGATGATGCTAACATAGTTAACCAAACGTGCGTTCACTGTTTAAAAGTAAAGTCTTTTAGTGTCTTATGGTGAATTAGTGTTTTATTTTGCTATTGTAACATCATAGATGCCAACTATTCTAACCCCCAACTGTAAACTTACGTTAATGTTAATACAGATTATTAAAACAATTTACAATTCACAAGTAATAATAAAAATAAAAAACATATAAAAATAATAGAGATTAAAATTTAAAAAAGTTATATAGGTATATAAAAATGAATGATTGAATATACAAAAAATAAATGAGCTACGGGAGAGAGCAAGCTTAATTAAAAAACACAAAACACAACTTTTTGGAAGAAATAATGAATAATTATGTAGAAAGGATCTTTGTCATTCTTCTTTATATAGAAATAAATAAATAATTTACTTTCAGATACAAACACGACAAAAACGCTTTAATAGTATCCGTTGTAAGATGCAAGGATTTACCAGCTAAAGATCCAAACACTGGCTCCAGTGATCCTTATGTCAAACTGCAATTACTGCCTGACAAACAACACAAGGTAAAGATTAACCATTACTAAATAAAATTATTATAATTGGCAAAGATTTAAAGAAACTTCATTCAATATATTTTAATTAATAAGCATAGAATCATAAAATATATTATTTCGAATTATCTGATTACACAATCTTGGTTTTATATAGGTTAAAACCCGTGTTCTTCGCAAAACCAGGAATCCCGTGTACGATGAAGACTTCACTTTCTACGGTATCGGTTTCAACCAGCTTCCCAACATCACGCTACATTTCGTTATTCTGAGTTTCGATCGCTACAGTCGTGACGACATTATCGGTGAAGTGTTCTGCGCTCTGAATAATGTAGATGTGGCTCAGATCGAAACTCAGCAGATGGCTTTGTGTCGGGAAATTCAGCCTAGAAGTTTAAAGGTCAGTATTAGAATATGTGCAATTCTTCAGTATGATGTATGATCATAAAAATTATAGGATGTTCAAACCGGTAAAAAATCATGCCTAATACCTTTTACAAATTTTATGTTATGATTTTAAATTTCTCACATTTTATTATAGAGAGAAGACCAGGCTACTAGTAACATAGCAACTTGCCGGACGAATTTACGCTTACCCGATTGCGTTCGTACTTGAGTTTCACTGCCGGCTAGTTGGCTGGTCAGGCAGTAGGCAGTTGCAGTTGTGCTTGGACGGGTCGGTCGTAGCAGACTAGAAATACGACGCGAGGAGTGCCGAGTATTAATTATTTTCATTTTAAGTGTTTACCTTCACTTAAGGTAACATTTAAAATAAAAATACTTAAATATTTATTATTTGAGTGTGTTTATAAGCCAAAACTAAAAATAAATAAATTCTCTAAACTCAAAAGTCATTTCCAAAATTAAAAAATACATCAATAAAATAAAAAAAATAAAATATTACTCTAAATAAAAAAAGTTATAACAAGTGTTCAAAAAGACCACCTTCTTGTGCTAGACAGAAGCCTAGGCGGCCGTAAAATCCCCGTCTTACATTGGCTAACATATTAGGGCTAATAGTTTGGAAAGCCTCTCGTATTTTTACTTGAAGCTCATCCAGATTATTAGCCCTATTATGACCATACACTTTGAATTTTACATAACCCCACAAAAAGAAATCATTGGGAGAAAGATCTGGTGATCTAGCGGGCCACAAAATAGTTCTATATCCACTAATTAAACGGTTGGGAAAAGTATTGTTCAAATATTCTTGAACAATACGGGCATTGTGGGCAGGGCAACCATCTTGTTGAAACCAGGCATTGTGGAATCTTTCTCCCAATAACTCACGAATTCTAGGCACAATCTGCTGCTGTAACAAGTCCAAATACTTTGCAACAGTTAAATTACCCTCTATAAAAAATGGACCAATCATATGCTCCTCTACAAAACCACCCCAAACATTTAGCTTTTTAGGATATTGCGTGCGTACCTCAAAATATCTGTCCAAATTTTCCCGAGACCAATATCGCACTTGTGTAGGGCTATGATGTATCAATAAATGAAAACTTGATTCGTCGGTGAAAACTATAAGCCGAATAAAGTTTTCATCTAAATTGGCTTTTTCCATTACATATTCACAGAATGCCCTACGCCGAAATTGGTCTTTATGGAAAATTTCCTGAGTTTTGCGCGCTTTATACGATCGGTATCCATTCTTTTTAAGGACTCTTTTAACCGTGCTAGGTGAAGAATCTGTTACCTCAGCAATTTGATTACTTGAAAACGTGGGATTTTGATCCGCGGTAGCACAAATGAACACTTGCTTTAACTTCTGTTCTTCATTAATCAACACATCAGGCTTTTTGTGTCTTTGTGGGGACACGCACCCATGTATATTTATTTATTTATTTATTAATACCAGTTAATTTACAATGTAGAAATACATGATAAACCGCAGAGAGACAGAGCTCTGTACGCGGACCGGTTTAACTTAAAAAATTAACAACTAAAAACTAAAAAACTAAGAAGTATGAAACAAAAATAAATATAAATACATACAAAAATAAAGATCAATTACTTATAACTTAAGCTACAGGCGATCAGTATTCCGCCTTAGCCAAAACCTGATAGTTCTCTTCAAATTTTTCTTTTCCACTGTTAAATTTTTCAATTCAGTTGGTAAGAGATTGAAAATTTTTATCGCTTTAATGTAACTGTCTTTATCACTTCCATGTGTTTCAAAATTATTAATAACTCTTGATATAGTAAGTAAGTGTTTACAAAAGTTTGTGGAAAAATTGTTTGTATATCCCGATAAGACCTATTTTGGAAATACCATTTTACAATTTGAATTTTCTCACGAACTTCGTAAACATCCATTATTTTACTTAAAAAATAAATTTTACTCGAGAACTGTCGCGAGAATCTATGAATTCGTTTTGGCTATTAAAACACGAATAAATACAAATTCTGAAACATTCTTATCACATATCTACCTATTTTTATTTTATCGCATTTTTTCGCTTGCTTTTTATCCGGCGGACGGGTATACGCTAATTCGTCCGGTTTTGCCTATGTTACTACTACGGTGGTCCGGTCTGTATATAATTATAAATACATTTAATATACAGGTTGTTAATTTGTTTATTACTCGTGACAAGAGCTTTATGGTTGAAATACGGCAACCTCGGCCCGCTCGTCGATAGACGACGCGACGGGACGAGTCGGCAGAAAACCCTATAAGAGCATGCGTTCTCATAGGCAGTGTTGCCATTCTGTTTTTCTATAAGTAACTGTCCAGTTAAAAACCTGTATACTATACGAATATACACCGGTATACTATTCATGTTTAATAACATAAAGATTTATATAAAATAGGGTTTACAGAATATTGATACTTAACTTTTATATATTTTATCAAATATCAAATTATGTTTTATAGCTAAAAAGAAAAAACATTTTCAAAAAATTAAAAAAAAATTCCCGAACAAAAACTCATAATCGTCTTTCTGGGGTCAAAATATACTCCTCCTAAAAATATTTGCACATATTTAAGACTCATCCTGTATATTAAAATTACAGAAGTTAATAAAAATAAATATTCATTCATAATTTATTTGTATCTGATTCTCAACTTTTTGCAACCCATTTTTCCAATAGTGTTTTTTGAATAAAAATTATTTAACTGTCAGTGTAACTAACTATTAAAATTTAATTGTAAATATTGGTATACCATTTTAGTAGAGCAGCGTTATGAATTCTGTCTTTGTTTTTACAATCTAAAAATTGTAATATTTGAGTTAATATGATAAAATGCGCATTTTTTCTATATAAAAAATAGATGATCTCAGATATAACTCTTTTTAGCATCGTAATATTAAAAGCAAAAAATTAATAATATAAGTATTTAAAATATATTTTGTTCTAATTTTTAGATTCGATCCCAGGGCCGAGGCGAACTATTGGTTTCTCTTTGCTGGCAACCAGCCGCCAATAGATTGACAGTAGTGGTACTTAAAGCCAGAAATCTCCCTAAAATGGACGTGACTGGTAAATACATTTATTAAAATTAATGTTTTGTTAATAATTACTATATTTTATAAACGAAACAGGAGCTGAATTTTTTTATTTTTTTTAATAAATTCACTAGGTTTGGCTGATCCCTACGTTAAGATCTATCTTCTCTACAAAGGCCAGAGAATTTCTAAAAAGAAAACTCACGTGAAGAAGAGGACATTGATGCCGGTGTTCAATGAAAGCTTTGTGTTTGACATTCCAGCAAACAGCCAAACTCTGGAGGGTATCAGTTTGGAGTTCTTGCTGCTTGATTGGGACAGGGTAACTAAGAATGAGGTAAATTACTGTAAAATTTAATACTATACCTTAGTGAATATACATGATATCGTTGTTGCAATATATTCAGCCTTTTTTCTATTGTACTTGTCCACGTAATCTCTAACGTAATCTCTAAATATACATACAAGTTCCTAAAAATTTGGTATAAATTATGACATAGTATTTTTAGAGTGAGATTTTTTTGCTAACTTAACAATATTCTATTTAATTTAGAATAAAAATATATTTTAATCGCATTCTACATCTATGAAATTATTTTGAAATAAATAATAGGGAGAATTTATATATACAGGGTCCAAAAATAGTTCGTCGGGCATTTAATTCCTAGAATATAAAACTTGGGAATTTTATGTAGATGCAAACCTAAAGTAGGTGTAATTTAGGAAAATATTTTAACTTCTATACTGACTCAAAAAAGTGTGAGTGTATCGGGATTAGAAATACAAGAACCTGTCCTGAAATCAAAACTATATTAGGTATTTATTTTAGATGATCTATACTTACTTTGCTATAAGTATCGTAATCTTAAACCATCCAGTGTTCATGTAGAATGTTTGGGGTAGAATTTTGAACATTTTGTATGATTTACGATTACCATTTTTATAGCACAGTAAATATAGACTATCTAAAGTATATATCACAGAATATACTACGACAAAGAAGCCCAAGTTCCTTGTAATAAATCGGTTCCATTTTCTTGTCGCCATCTCTCGTCGTAGTGGACATTTATAGGATAGCCAAAGGGGTGCGGGGCCAAGGAACAGGCGAGAATTATTTTTATTTTAATTATTTTTATTTGCTACTTTTACTTTGCAATTTTATTTTTAAAGCATACCTATTATGTGAAACAATCACATAACTTATTTTAAAACTAAAATTACAAACGGAAACAAAATGAATTAAATAATCTGAAAATCTACTAAGTTTATTTATAAAAAAGTTATGCTATGCAAATTGATATATTAAGTTTAACCTATTTGGTATAATATTGTTAAACAAACATTAACAAGTCATAACATATCAGATTACCTGGTATTGTCGGTAAGCAAAATCTCTGTATAAACATTTTTACATGATTTTGACGACCAGCGCCAACAGTCGTCGTGAATCGAAAACTTTTGCTGGAACCATTTTGAATATTTAATTTACATGGACCTGGCATATATCTAGTATAGTTTTGATTTCAGGACAGTTCTTGTATTTTTAATACTTTTTTAAGAAAGGCTGAAAAATATTTTTTTTATTTATTTTTTAATATCTCTGAAGCTATCGAAATATATTTTCTCATATCTTAGGATTATGTAAAGTGATCTGAAAGGAAGCCAAAAATGCAATAAAATACAGGGTGTTTCTTAAAAAAAATCATTCCGATCCGGAAATACTCTCTGAAAAACATCCTAGTACATATTTTAGGCACGTATTTAGGTCTGCACTTAAAATTCCCAACAAGCCAACAAGTTTTTTTATTCTAGGCGCTACAGATGTTCGACGCACTATTGCCGGACCCTGTATGTGAATGAATATAACCGTTGATTGAAAGAATTGAAACGATACGCAACCTAATGAGTGAATACGAGCCCTTACGTCTCAAATGCTGTACGGTGGAGACACCAATTGTTCTGCGGTCAACGCATAAAACACGCATTTTTCTAATTCGGCCAGCGAAGGCATATCGAAGATGGTGTAGATCTGAAAGCGGCAGTGTTGCCGTATTAAAATGTATAATATACGTAATACGTTTGACAAAAATATCTCTGGATGCAAAATTCGCGTTTTTGCATTGAAAATTTATTCGTGTTAAACATAGAATAAACAACAAAAATAAAAATTATTTTATATGTACTGAATATGTCGTATGGTCAATAAAAGTCGTTTAGTTGGCTTGGGAATTACCAAATTATTGACATTTACCATACTATTTTACATATGAAATAACAGCGATCTTCATTTCCAAACCAACTCTGACGCCGTTCTTTGTTTAATCATACAATAATAAATTAAATTGTTTAATGATAGAAAATTCATATTATTAACGTACTGTACCCAAAATCCCTAAATCTACGGATTAATCAGTAGTTCTGACAATACTGTCTCTGGCAAAATCTCACTCTGTCGACTGAAAGCAGAACTACGGTATAGTATTATTTAACCGCTGCGCTATAAACGATTGTCAGCGCGCAGCGGCGCAAAGCTAAACTAAACCTCGGAATTCTCGGACAGGCTGACGGTAACGCCAGCTACATCTCGGACAGGTTTCGTGCCACGAAATCGACCATAAATTTGCGCATATTTTTATTTCTTCAATCAACGATATAGCATAATATTTTACACATTCTTTTTATCCACTTTTCAGGTTATCGGAAGACTAGAGTTGGGTGGTCCAAAATGTACAGGGTCGGCCTTGACCCACTGGAACGAAGTGTGTAATTCACCAAGAAGGCAGATTGCCGATTGGCACAAACTAAAGGAGTAAAGAACTAGGCCAACTTGCTGTCATTTTTATTTTAAATTAGACACTATTTTTTAAATAATTTTATTATCCTGTTTCATTTGGGTAAATTATTCTACTCGTTTTCAAAATTATATGTTGATAAGGTAGTACGTAAGGGAATAGATATAAAAAAGTTGTTTTGTACGAATGAAAAAAAAATAGAGCATATGTTTTGTATCAGAAAGTACGTAATAATGCTATTCGTGCATGTTGAAGTGACCGAAAACAAGTAAAATGGTAAGTTATTAGTTTATTACTTTTTATTTTTGTGAAGAGTTTATACCGCGTTGGCAACTGTTACTTTTGAGTCGGTATATACATATGTGGAAGTATATCGCACAGGGATCTTATTAAGTCGGAGTGAGAGAGATGCGACGCGCGACGGTGTGCTGTTGCGGCGTTGCCTGTACGCCTTTCCCTATCAAGTAAAGTAAAATCACGATCGCAAACCGCTTATTTTTAAAATACTTTTTTTTCGAAAAGGTAACTAGATAAAATCATTAGATATGTTTCTGAGCATCTGAAATGGAATTATAAGGATATCGTTAGGGTGTCCATTTTTTTATAAAAAGAAAATGTCAGCAATCGCGATAATTTAAAAACTCTACTTTTTAACACATAACGCAACATAACTTAAAAACCACTTTAGATATTGAAACTTTTATTTTTAAAATCGGATATTTTGCAATATGTTTAAATAAAAAAAACGATAAGGTTGTTTTTTTCCATTCAAAAATTTGGAACAACCCATCCATTTACTTTCAGTGCATAGCAATTTTCAGCAATCGTGTAACTTTTTATTTATACAGATTTTCGCATACTGTCTGAAAATATAGCAGAAATGTAAAAAAATATTTTGAACAAACTACAATCAATAATTATTTCTAATAGATTTCGAGATCTCGATTTTTGAATTCAGAGTTCTAATAGCGCTATCACTGTCGAACACCAACTCAATTCCAATTATTTTTACCAAAAATGCAAGTATTTCTAACTTGCACTTAAAATTTTTCAAGCTATAGAAAACATTACAACGACTCGTTAATAAATAAACAAATAATAAATTATCACGAGACGTAATTAAATCGCAAAGGTGAACGCATGATGTACACCTTTCCCTGGAACTTTAAGTACTGACAGAGGTACTGATTGGGTCGACCGGTCGACTGCGACAAATCTGCTATATCTCCTTCCACGTATTTTAGCGATGTGCACAGTCTCTCGGTTTATTTCATACGTTTGGCAACGTGTTTACTGTCCTCTCTTTGTTCAGTACATTATAAACGCATTGTACTCTTCTTACATACGGAAATCTCGACACAAGACTAACTTTTGCCAGCTCTTAGTAGATCTCTATGGATATATTAGACCTAAAAATATAATATAATATGAAGTGTTAACTAAAAACACAAATAAGACATTATTTGTTAAAGTAAATAAACAGTTTATATTTTCTACAATACTAAATATAATTCTCCATCACCAATACACTAAATATAACACTAAATTTATAACATTTATTACAATAACGCACTATAATAAACATTTTACTTGTTTTAATAGTACCTCCTTAATTAAAAAAAAGCTTTTCTATTTTAAGTAACTTGGTACACCTTATGAATTTGGTAAAATAAATGATGTGCTAAAATATCTTAAAATTAAAGATATAAACATATAAAACTTATAATGCTTCTGTGTCTACTACAATAGGAAAAGCAACTTGCATTCGAGCAGCACTTGAAGTAGTAGCACCTCTGGCGGAGCCTCTGTTATATTATTGTACATAATCTTATCTGTATAATTACTTAAGAGTATTACATAATTTAGGTAAATAATTTCACTCTAGCTAAATTTTAACAAACGATATTATGAAGTAAAACATAGGAAGAAATAAAATATAAAAGAATTAAGTAGTTTGCACAGTATAATTTTCATTTTATTCGTAATGGGATTAATACGATGATTGTTGAAAAATAGTATATTATACAGTATGTCCCCGGATTATCTTTACAAGAGGAAACACTTTTATTATTGATATTTTGAGAAAAATGCATCCTTTATAAAAATGTTTCCCCGTTTTAAAAATGGTCAATCCTGTTTATGCCTTTCCAAATTTCCATACCGTTTCAGAGAAAATTAAGAAAACAAGATTATGTAGTTAAATTCTTTCTAAAGCTTCATTCAGAACCTCGCAATTAGTGGAATAAATTAGCGGTTGCAATTAGCGTAGAAGTTTGTTTCTGTAATTTCAATGTAAGCATTCAGAACGTCTAAATTAGTGGTAATCATTTTCAAGTAGTAGAAAAAAGTTAACAAACTTTAGACATTTCCATTAATTATACTTCAAAATTTGCGGGGAATTTCATTTTGACCTTTGATTATCATCCGTCAAGAGAAGTTTTTTAGACATTGTGAATTGTGAATGATCGTAAACTAAAATGTATAAAGTGTAATTGAAACCACTAATTTAATCCACTAATTGCGATGTTCTGAATGAAGCTAAAGTCCTAAAAATTAAGTTTTTCAAGTTTTTGTTTCCCAAGTTTTAGTAAAAATTTGCATGCAATACATACATATTTTTCTTCTTTCAAGCATTGTGCGGTGTTGCCATGCTCTTTCTTATTTACTGACTGAACTTAAAAACTACAGTCTTAAGAATTTAACTTTTATATTAATAAAAGTAAAATTCACTCTAATTTTGACTACTTTTAGGATATACTGTTTTTAACCAATAGTTCAGTAAATAAGAAATAACATGGCAACACCGCATAAAGAAAGCGAAAAACAGTGTATTGTATGCAAAATTTTATGCTGTATCCAATTCTGTACAGAAAAAGAGGGGTTGCAATTTAAAAAAAAACCTATACATCCTATATCCTAAACAATGGGCTCTTTCACTATATTTTGGAATTTGCATAATTGATTAAAGCAATTAATTCTAGAATTTTCTGCTATCTCACTTTCGAAAAATTTGAAATCGTTCTTAAGAAAATAAATAAAAACAAAAAAGCCCAGAATAAAAATCCCCACTTTATTTTTAATACGTCACACCTGGCATGTTGAAAAGCGGCAACACGGCCGGGCTACCATGCTGACCCTCCACCACCTCCACACAAGGCTATTCAACCTTTTCCAATATGGCGGTGATAGAAGTGGTTTATTTGGCGCGTATTTTAAAACCTGTTTTATTTCCAAATAAACATTTTTCACACAAATGTCGGGTTAGATTACATAATATTTCACTAATTTTTTAATATACAGGGAGTCTAAAGCTCTCCACATAAGTATGGCATTTTTTGTATTATTACTTTTATGAAAACATCAGTTAGTTACTTTTTATAAAAAGGTCTGCTTATATAGGGTGTTCAAAATCATCGGAAAAAGAAATAACCAGAAATATATGACAGAAAATAGCAATATAAACTAAATATTCAATTGCAAACACTTACCTACCATAGTTTAGAATTTACTGCACGTTTGATAAATATATACTATTATGGACAGTATAGGAAGTTACTTGTCTTAGTAAAAGCCTTGGTAAATGCTCTTGGTGTAAACTACACTGACTTGGGTCAAAAAATATAGAATATTTTTCCTATGTTTTGCAGCATTACACAAATGGGAATAAATTTAAACTATAATAGATTTTATATAGAAAAAAAAACTAAATACCTTTTTATAACGTCATTCCTTTTTTTTTGTATAGTTCTTCAATAAAATATTGGATATTCTGAACAAGATGGATTTATTAATAAATTCTGACATATGTGAGGGGCAATTTTGACCTAAAAAAAGACTTACATCCAGGCCATTTATATTTTCAAATGTGAATGTTGTCAATATCTTGTGAGGTAAGTGTAAGCAGTAGCCATAACTACATCCTTACTAGGGTAACAACAGAGGCTTTGGCCTTTGGCCTTTTTGAGGCATATTTAATGCACTTCTTACCCGAAAACTACTAGTAGGAGTGAAATTATCTCTTTTAATAGCTGTCAACCATTTTTTACGAAGCTCGTCATTTTTGTTTTGTTTTGGTTTGGTTTGGTTTATTTTTTTTTGGTTTTCACAAACCTTGGGACCCCCTCTATAATTCTCGTGACAATTTGGAACAGAGCATGTAAAAGCTATGCTACAATAAAATGTTAATAACTGCCCTTTAATACCTATCTTTTGATTATTGTAAGTAACCATTATAAAGTACTATGCAGACTGGCGGTGAAGGCTTTTTACTCATTTAGGTGTAATATCTTGATAAATACTTCTAGTTTTTACCTTAAAATAATTAATAATAGAGGAGTACGACAAGCACAAAAGTTTGAAGTTTACACTGTTATTTTATCACAATTTTCTGATCACACAATGCACTGAAGACTAAGAATTAAGCAAACGTGTTGCTTACAACAAACTAGAGATAATTAATTATTTCTGGTATGCAATCGGAACGAGAAACCACTACCGGCTTTTCAGTTTAAAGGTAAACAATTTAATAATGCGCTACCTTCGCCGCCATATTTGCCTTGCCCATATCATTTTGATTAGCCTTGAGTTGAGGTGGTGCTGGTCAAACCAAATCGCAATGTTGCCAGTTTTTGACTGGCGCACGAGCACGGTTCTGCAATATGATTGGGCGTATTTTTCATACGTCATCAATTGGCGCTTTAAAATTATTTCAAATTAAAGCAATTTTGAGAGCCTATAAAAAATTATTCAATGTCATGGAACTATTTTTTTGGATAAATATACTGAAAATAGTCTTCTATTTCAGATTTTGTCCTTGAATTGGTTTTTTTATTTTTTGTGAAAGAGCCCATTAAAAAATAAGTCACATTATCATACAGGATATTTTTTAAAGCTACTACAGTTGTATTTAAAATGTTATATCTCAATTTTTATAAATGCAACAATGATTTTTAACAATCATCCCAGAAATTCATTACTGCATTATTTAAGTTTTTAGGTATTTATCATTTTTTATTAATGATTATAATATTATATTTGATTGATTATATTTTATGTGATATGACAAATCGATTATGGGCAGGGTTTTGCGCTTAGCGCTTAGAAATATTAATACCGATGTTGCAGAATATAAAAAAATGTATAATAAACTAAGCATTATAACCCTAAATCTAAAAATAAGAGATCTGTTTAAAAACAAAACAAAGTAGAGTATGTTCTTTTTGAAAAATGCGATACAATGTCCGCAAAAATGTCACGATTTTTTTATTATTAAAGACTTTTTTTATTATTTAATGACAGATTATTTTTGGTGAGCTACTTTTGAGACGCACCCAGTATATACCGGGTGCGTAAAATAAAAACTATGTTGTTTTATTGTTAAACCACTGCAAATGCATAAAAAGTACGTACATGGGATTAAAAATATAGG